ATCTATCTATCTATCTATCTATCTATCTATCTATCTAATCCCCTCTCACCCCCATGGGTGGTATGTGTCTTCCTCAATCTTGGGCCCTCTACCAGAGGCCTGGGAGTCCTGCACGGTTCTGTGCAGGATCTGAGCTGTTCCTAGCACTGCCAGAGAAAGAGCTCTGATGTTGTTCCTGGGATCTGTTGGAGCCACTCTCCCAGCTATATATCTATATATAGATATATCAGGATGTGAAATTGGGCTGTAAAAGAATTGTCCCATGGATCCTGCTAGCAATATATATATATATATTGTGTGGATTTATTGCTATATATATACAGTAGAGTCTCGCTTCTCCGACATAAACGGGCCGGCAGAACGTTGGATAAGCGAAAATGTCGGATAACACACACTAACAATTGAGTGCAGTAAAAAAAAAAAAAAAAAAACCCAATCCGCTGCGCCTGTTGCAATCGATTTTTGCGTTGCGGCGCTGCACCGTCAGGAGCAACAAGAGAGAGTACACTCACACTCGCAAACAAGCGGCACACTTTTCTCGTCGCCGATTTATGCGTGTTGTGTTTTTTTTAGGGGCGTTGGATAAGACGGAGTGTCGGATAAGCGAAGGTGGGTTAAACGAGACTCTACTGTATATATAGAGAGAGCAATAGATAGATAGATATAGGTTTACCACTTTCAGGAAACAATGGTAGGATAAACACTAAGAGAAGCAAAATCTAGCTTATATTCTATCTTTCCCCAGAAAACAAAAACACCATCCAACTCACTTCTGAAAATGTACCAGTAGGTCAGGGCTTCTCACAACAACAAAGCTCTTCAGAGCATTTCTCCTTTAAGCACTTCCTGGGCTGACCATGTGACCCTGCAACATTGTGTGGTCATATGGACATTCCAGGAAGTGCCACAAAGCAACAGCTTCTGCAAAGAGCACTACATTGCTGTGAGCATGGAGGCATTTTGCTATGAGCAGAAAAGTGTCAAGAGCTCTGGCTATCATCTACATATTCAAAGTAACAGCAATAACCCACTGCCTGCAGAAATGTTATGTTTGGATAAAATTCAAATATAAATCCAGCAGATTAGGAATCTGTTTTAGAAAAGAGGCGGAAAAATGAACTGGATCTAGACCACTCCACACATTCATAGCAGATTTTTTTTTTCATTCTACTGCATTAATACAGGAGCAAAAGAAGGAAAAAAAAGAGAAAAAAGGGGATTTAATCTTAGGGACATACAACCTCAATCCGTCTGAACAATGAATTATGTTTTACATGGTAAGTCAAGGGCTATACTTCCAAAGCAGGCAGAGCCAACATCTGGCTTGGGATGGCAGTCCAGGAGTTTTAAGGGGTGAAACAGATGCCTTAAGCACCATATGTGACCCTTTCTGCCCCTTGAGGCTCTCACATTTGCACAAAATGGGGGACAGGGGAAGCCAACCAATTTGGACCCACTCATGCTGGGAAGCTGTGAGGGCCACTAAAGATAAAGGTAAACCAGTGGTTTTGTTTTGTTTTTTGCATCACTGCAAAATTTCATAAAATAAGCAACTCCATGCTCAAAGTCAACAAAAGTTTAAGAACTCAATCCACAGAAGCTGTCATTTTATGCAAGCTTACTTAGAAATTTGCCCTATTGCAGGACACAGTGGTTGAGGTGCCTATATGAAAATAGGTCCACACCAGGATTTAGGTCCAAGTAGACACGTTCAGGAAGAGGCTGTGCAGATCCCGTAAATCTGCTGATATCCCTAAAATTAAAAGAAGGGGAAAAAGTTAGGGTTGTTTACCTGAACTCACTAGAGTTCTGCACCACAAAAAAGACCCTTATTTTTCCCAGTATATAAAAGCACCTCCTTTATTCTAATTTTCTTTCATCTTCACCCTTAACACACCATAGTCTCTCTGGCCTCCTTTTCTTCATGCCTTTACATATCCGCTTTTCAACATGCTACTTCTCCTACCCCCCACCCCACCCCGATCATTTGACCATCTCTAGAAATCTAGAATCTCAAGTATTTATTATTCATGTTTGGATTTCTTTTTTGTTTGCTTTTTGCAGAAATAAATGAAATAGCTCCAACTTCTCTGAGCATCAGCAGCCACAGAAAAGGTAGCCATGGATCCACCAACTCACGTTTAATTAAAAACCACATGGACTTGCAGGCAGGCAAAGGAGCAGAATGCTGTGTCCCAAGTAAAAACTAACCACGTTTTAGAAAAAATAAGTCACCCACAGCTTGGTTAGAAATGTAAAATTTTGCATGAGGAAAGATGGAGCCCCAGACTCTCTTTAACAGCTCTTGGCTCAAGCAGTTTCTTCGGGTGGGGTCAGAGTTTCCATAGCATGCCAAGACATATTGTGACTTGTCTGGTTTCAGATCACGCAGTGTGTGAAGCCACCTGCTGTTCTTTGTAAACCATGGTCACGGCTTAGCACTCCATGTGAACCAGTCCACCATGGCTTGTTCAATAAACCAGAGTTCCAAGGGTAAGACACCATGTAAGAGTGTCCTCTTCCCCTCCAAATATAACTCCCCCCTTCCATTTCTAGATGCAAACCCCTTACCAGATTGGTCTTCTGTTTCTTTTCCCCACAATGTGGGAAAAATCTGGAAACAAACAGGGGAATCATCCCATAGCTGTGGCTGATGGGAGCTGTAGTCCAATACATATGGAGAGCACCAGGTTGGGGGAGAGCTGTTTTAAAGGAAAGGAACTGTCCAGGCATGAGATGTTGATCCATGTTTATCCTTTTCAACCAGTCCTTTGGAATAGTAACTTGCAAGTTCCAGGGGTTTCTTGGAAACAGACCCAAAAGACACATCACCCCTCAACCTATGAGACAGTTTATCCACTTTTACCTACCACCCCCAAATTAAGATAAATCCACTTTTGGGGAAAAGCTGACCATGGTCAGGAGAGCTTAGTTTGTCTTTTGCATAGAGACCTTATTGAGATGACCATATCAGGTGAACCAAGTGGGCCCGCTAAGCCACTTCTCAGAATCCCAGACAACATATTCCCCTCGATTCAACTGCACACATGATTTATTTGTCCCATGTGAGCTTTTTCCACCACCCAACACAAGCAGAACATAAGTAGAAATCAACAAGCGCATCCACAAGGCGCGGCTGTTTCAACAAGTCAGATCTCTAAAGAAAAAAAACAGCAACTCCACTCTTCTGTGGCTTCACCATGTTTACCTGCAATTAATTCACTACTGGTTCCTCGAGTCATCTCATTGAAAAACTTCCGATCGGTGTTTCTCAACCTTGGCAACTTTAAGACAGGTGGACTTGAACTCCCAGAATTCCCCAACCAGCATCATGCTGTCTGGGGGATTCTGGGAGTTGAAGTCCACCTGTCTTAAAATTGCCAAAGTCGAGAAACGCTGCTCTAGACATTTCTTCTTGCTGTCTTTCTGCCCCCTCCCCTTATTTAGAGCAGGGTCTCCTTCCCTGAGGGCTTTGAATGGGGGTTTTATTCAGAAATAGATGTCTAGCTTCCCAGAAGAAACTCTTCCATTTTGGGGGCTCCCATAGAGGAATCATCCACTAAGCATCTTGTACTATTAACTAGCAATTTCCGTTACAAAGGAATAGCTGTGAACACTATTCGGGTCAGGGAATACCCAAAGAAAGGTATCTCCTACGCTAGCACCCCATGACTTTGGAATTTCCCACCCAGCGTGATGGGCCAAGCTCCCTTTGGGTGATTAATAGAATCCCTAAGCCTTTCTTAGAATCACAGAACTGTAACAGTGGAAAGGATCATTTAGTTTATCCCTCTGCAATACGCAGGAACAACAACACTTAAACCGTTGAACTTGTTCTGATCAACTTCCAGCAAAATTTCAAGGGCTTTGAATGCTGTCATTTAATGTGGGTAGTTATGTAGTTCTTCGATATTCTAATGGTTTCTAAGTGTATTGGTAATTATAAGTCACCGTGTAAACATAGAAAGCAATTTATTTCCTGATTACACCCAGCTGACCTTGTCTGGCTCAGAACTAACCAGGGCTAGGCCTGCTCGTATTGGCGTATTTGGGCCCTGGGGAATTTCAGAGCTATAGGCTAGATGAGGGGTGGGATTTCCAAGTGCACTCCACCCTACAGCAAGAGGCACCTGTTAAAAAATGAAAGACGATCAGGGACAGAACTGAATATTTTTCCATTCCTCCCCAGCATCACCATCATCTCTGACAAAAGCAGATGGCTTAAAACATCTAATCAATCAACTATAAGGAAAGGGAGGTTGGGAGTTGTAGTCCCATCATGTCTGGAAGAAGTGAAGTTGGAGAAGGCCGTTTTAAACAGCCAAGCATGCAAAATAGTCAAGTTTATATTGCTAGAAGCAAGAATACGGTATTTGGTAAAATGCAATGCCTTGACACAATATTTCTGGGGCATCACCACCGTTGTCACGAGTTTCGCACGTGGTAGGATTTCAAAACCAGAGTTTAACTCCATGTGTGGCTCTAACGTCTCTTCTACCACATACATCTTTACACAGTAGATCTGTGACCTCAGCACATATGCCTTTCGAATTAGTGCCCTACATTGTTTATGAAACAGCCACCACTCTGTGTGAGGAGCAGAACAAAAAGCGCTTGCTGGAAAATCTTGGGGTTAAGAAACCCCAAGGAGCTTACTACTGCTTGCTCTTAAAGCAGACTGCAGCCTAAGTAAAGCCCACTGAATCCAATGGCTTGGCGTTTAGACAGAAAGCCTGAAAAGTGTGAAAGAATAAAATAATGTTACTCCCCCTAAAATCCACCCTCTCGATGATATCCACCCCATCCGTGAAAAAGTTGCCTTAACTTTTTTGTTTCCTTAAAAGCATTTCCATGCCCATTACCTAGGCTAGGTAAACACGCTTCCAATTATCCCAAATTGTACAGTTCCAGGGAAAATCAATATTCAGTTCAAGTTAGCAGGGGAGGAGAGCAATAGCGAAACTGAACCTGCCAAGTCCAGCGATTGGCCTAAAGAGAGCGGAGCAGGGACACTTCGGTGGCCATTGTTGGAGCAGGCTGCCAAATGTACACCGCACTATTAGATGTGTTTACACTGAATGAAGTCCCAGGAATTTTTTTTCCCTGCAAAGAGACTCACTCCCATGCAAGTAGGTGGAGGGACCGCACAGAAATCGTGCTGGTGCAAAAGGGGTCTTCTTTGGCAGCACTCTAACAAATTATCAGCATTAAGGTTTTTTTTTTGTTTTTTTTTTAAAGCATGATTCAATTCTGCTAAAGTCAAGGTAAGATACCAACACAATAAATAAATAAAAAAAGGAGACCTCTTCCGGATCAGACAAAGGCCTACCTTGTGCAGCATCCTGTTTGCCAATGCAGCCAACCAGATGCCTCTGAGAAAAAGCCTTCCACCACCAAACACGCCTGCAAAGCCTCCCTCCTCCTCGGGTTCCCCGACAACCGATCCTCACGGGCAGGTTTTTTGTTTTTTTTTTTAAAAATCCAAACACGCATTACTGTATCTCCTCCCCCGGCCAGGAGCAGCCGGTGGGCGAGCCGAGAGAGACGACAAAGGAGGCGACCCCCCCCCGAAAAGTTCCCTTCCAACAGGAAAGTTGGGGCCGCCGGTTACCCAAAGGAGGATCTCCCCCCCACGAGCAGGAGCCGGGTTCCAGCGATCGTCTGCACGCACCCCGGGTCAGAGCCGGAGGAACACACGAAAGAAGCCGGGATATTTAGAAGCAAGAAGGGGCGGGCGGGCAGGAGGGGAAGGAGAACGGGAAGAGGGGCTGAGAGCCCGACCTCCCAAAGCGCGCCCGAAGGGGCCGGACTCCGGCTCCCATCGTTCCCGGCCAGAGCGGCCCGGGAAC